TGGGAAGTGCCTAAATAAAAAAAAAAGTAGTAAAATTCAAAGTCAGTCATAAATTAAAGACAGATTGATTTGCTTTTTCATAACTAAAGTTCTTTTTTTTTTCTTAAGGTTCATTTCTGTGTTTGGTTATACCTCTTTTACTATGAAAGTTTCAATATTCTTTGCTCCACCCAAGAGCCATTATTTATTTGTCTGCTTTATTTTTCTCCGAAGTACCCATAGTAAATATACTGTGAGGTGCACTTAGAGGTATTGATTCTTTCTTTTTTTTTTGTTTGAATGTAAATGCTGCACAGAAAGAAATGTTTTTAAATGCTGGACCTCAGACCTTATAGCCAGCACTAGGAACATGTAAAATGTTACTAATTGCATAATTATTGTAATTAAGTGGAGACAGGCAGAAATACATTAGATTAATAAAATTTACCAGGTGACTGCCAAGTTTCTATTTGAATTAGTTCTATGTATAACATTTTGTGCAAGGTAACTGTGTAATGATTGTGGGTGGATAACGGAGTTACTGGGCCTGGCCCTGAATACTGATTTTAGCAAAGGATTGGCTGTTTGGCTTTGGGTAATCTCCATAGCATTTCTGTGCCTTAGTTTTCTCATCCCCAAACTAAGAAAAAGTAAATTGTGTATGTCGTGGTTAGAAAATATATAGAATAAAATAGAATAAAATAAATATAAAATAAAACATTTTGATGCATAGCTACCCTTAAAAGTAGTACAATTTTCAACTTCTGAGAAAAATATTCTTTTTATATTCATTGCCTGTATAAAATAGAATCATGATAATCATGTAAGCATTAGAAAATATTTTGTCTCAATTATGAATTGTTTAGTTTGAAGCACATTTTAAACATAATTTACTTTCTGAGAATTAGGAAGATTGTATATATATATATATATATATACATATATATTTATTTATTTAACAAACGCCAGTTAATCAAATAGAGTAGTGAACTAATTATAAAGGTCAAGCTCAATCTGTATTTCTACCTTGCTAATACAGTAGGTCTGTGACCCTGGGAAAGTCTATTAAAACGCTAAGTTATAGTATTTGCATTAGTGAGCTGGGTAAAACTTAAATGCATGCTCATAGTTAATATTAAGCACAGCACAGTGCCTGGGATGTAATATATCTCAATAAAAGGAAGATCATCTAAAAGATTGCTTTAGCACCTTGAGAACTGTGCTTGAGACAGAATTGTATCAATTTATGTGAAATTGAGAGAGTATTGAGAGTGGAATTACATTTTTCTCACTTCAGTTTTAATACTAAGCAAATACATCAGGAAATCTTAGTTTTGAAGGTATTTTAAATAGCAATTTGAATATGAGAAATAGTGACATACTTGGCAGTAAATCACTTAGCAAGTCACCTTTGAGCTGCTAAGTGTAAAACACCAAGCTTGTTAATGCCATTTAAGACATGTGCTGCTTTTGAAAGTGACCATTCCTGAATTTCTTAAAAGCTCAACATCTTACATATGAATCTTTCTCGCCTTACAGTTTTTATCAGTTTAAAATGTATGACTGTACTAAGAAATATATACAACACTGTCATGCACGCATTCTCTTTCAGATCTTTATTACATAGGAATATGTTATAAATTTTTTAACACTAGATATTAGGAAATTTTATAAAGCATTACATTTACTAAGGTTACTCTTAAATACCTGGAGAAGATGGGTAACGCCTCGCAGTTTCTCAAAGAAGCGCTTGCTGGAGTCGCAATCAGAAACCAGCCGGACACAAGCACTTTCAGACCGATCAGAACTGAAAGGCACATGCCTAGGTCACGGAACCCAAGAAACTGGGGTTTTATACTTCCATGAGTGTAGAGAATGTTAATATTGTTGACAAATACTGAAGAATTCCATTTCTGCTGGCCCTAGTGGGTAAATCCTTGCCTTGTACTTGTCATATGCACACTATTTCCTGTTCCAGCTGCTCCACTTCCCTTCCAGCTCCCCCTTTTGTTGCTTGGGAAAGCAGTAGAGGACGGCCAAAAGCCTTGGGACCCTGCACCCATGTGGGAGACCTGGAATAAGCTCCTGGCTACTGGTTTGGGATCAGCTCAGCTCCATCTGCTTTGCCACTGGGGAGTGAACCAGTGGACAAAAGATCTTTCTCTCTTTATCTCCTTTTCTTAAATCTGTCTTTCCAATAAAAATAAAATAAATATTTTTTAAAAAGAATTCCATTTCTGAAAATAATTTAGGAACTAAGGTAAGGCAGCTCCTTCAAACTTGCCACTATGAAATGTTGGTCAGGTTTCCTGTGTTCAGAGGAGTTGGCAAACTAATAGTTCATTGTTTTTGCTTTAGCTTGAGGGTGGAATACAAAGCATCCCTGTAGGTTTTGAAATGTCATTTTGTAGGAATTCAGATTGCAGATCATCCTTTTACAAAATATGTGTTGTCCTTTTGAAATTCCCTTCTTAATATACCTTGATATTAAAATAAAGATCAGTGCAAATGCCATTGTAAATCAAATAATACAACTCAACTAATCAGAGCTATCACTAGCCCATGGGATAACTTTGTGTCCCAGTCCAACCAGAGCACAGATCTTGCAATAGAGTCTAGGTCTGGTCACTGTCTTCTCTGTTGGATGCCAGGATATAGGGATCAACCTGCCTACCAACATCAGTGCCCCTGAAATTAATATTTCAATGACTGAAAAAAGAGATTTCAATGATTCCACTATGTGCAGATTCTAGGCCATGGGCTATTTTTTTTTTATCACTTATGTTTTAAGGAGTGTTATGACCATCATGATTGTTCACAAGTTTACTGATTTGAAAGAGAAAAAAAAAAAAAACCAGTGTGAGATCTTTTATCCAGCATTTCCCCAAATGCCCCTCCAAAGCCAAGGCTGGGAGCACATCTGGGTCTCCCCCATGGCTAGTAAAGACCCTGAAACTTGAACATTGTCTACTGCCATCCAGTGAGCGCATTAGTTCGTCTATTTTTGTCTATTAGTTCCTCTATTAGTTCGTCAAATGTGTTCAATCTGCAGTAATATTTTTGAATGTGTTGGCAATGAGAAACCATGGCCTGTCCTCTTGTTTTTGTACAGTTTTTCCTGCTCTATCATCGTGTTACTTTGGTTTGGTGAATGCATTGCAGACCAATCCTCCACCCGCATCAGCATCCCATATACCTGTGGTCCTTTTCCTCACCTCTATACTACTGAGTGAGCTCCCTGCGAACATGATTGGAGAACAGTGGAAAATGGCCCAAATCTTTGGGTCCCTGTACCCACATAAAACACCTGACTCCCAGCTTCGGACAGGCCCAGCTCTGGCTCTCATAGCTATTTGGGAAGGGAACTAGGAGGTGGAAGACTCTCTCTCTTAGTAATTCTACCTTTCAAGTAGAGTAAATTAATCTTTAACAAAAATACTCCTGTTTCATACACACATACATTTTTAAAGAACCTGTTTATTTTTTTATTGTTATTAACATTGTTTTATGTGATACAGTTTTATAGGCACTGGGGATTCCCCCCACCCCTCCCATACCCCTCCCCCCATGGTGGATTCCTCCACCTTGCTGCATAACCACAGTTCAAGTTCAGTTGAGATTCCTTCCTTGCAAGCATATACCTAGCATAAAGTCCAGCGTCTTATTGTCCAGATAAGTTCAGTGGCCTCTTGGGGAGACCTTCTGTGGTCTGAAGATAGGGCTGAGTGAATGAGCCATTATGTGAGCCTTTTGTTTATAGGCTGTCCCAAAGCATCAGAATCAAGCTATGTGGTTGTTCCATTCAGATTATTAGATTTTTGCCTAGGAAAGTAGTGTGTCACAATACTAAAAGAAGGAAGATCTCTCTGAATTTATTGAGTTTTTTTCAGTCTATTTTTGAAAGTAAGCTGCTTCCTTCCTTTCCCACATCCTCACCAAAGAAACTTTGTTCACCATAAACTCGTTAATATAAAATGATGATTCTAAAGCAAGATGTATTTCCTTCCTTGTGCTCAAGTCTTGATTAGTCATTTAAAGGGTAAATTTAGGGAAAGCTAAAATACTACTCTCTAATCATCTCTCAACCTTTCCCCTTTAAAAGGTACTAAATGATTTGAGTAAACCATTTACTCTATCTTTATTCTCACTTTATTTTTCTGTGCTTAGGACAAAATCATCAACTTAATGATTTTTTTTTCACTTCGAAGCTATACCCCGAAAGTAAGCTGTGCATTTCTAGAAGATATTATAACTTTATCATGCCAATAAAAGGACATCAGGAAAATAAGATTAAAAACCAGATTGGCTGATTCAACTGTTACCAAAAAAGTCAATTTGTATTTATTTGTCCAACCCAGAAAAACATCTTAAAAAGGATCTTCTGTTACTCTCTCCTAAGAATTCACTGTTTTCATAAGTTTGTATTAGTTCTTATTACCCACCAAGGAGTGGTTGTTGGAACAGCTAAGATGCTGTGTATACATACATTATTTTCATGTTTTTCTTTTCCTTTTTTATCAGTGTGTTTGAGAAAATGATGAGAAGCCAGCTATTGGGAAAAGTTTTATTGACATTATATAGCTATTAAGGACATTAAGAATTCTCCAGAATCAAGTGTTAAATTCCCTCCATGTATATTGGCATGATAAGGTGTTCAGGTGTCTCCTAACTGATCAGTTCAGCTTGCTGTGCTGCTCATTGAGTTATTCCTAGCAATTGTAACAAAAGACTGATTTTCTAAATTTGTGGTTTATATCCTAATTTTTCTACTATAAAATTCTGGCTTTATCACTGAAGGCAAACTAATGACAATGAAAATAATACTGAAGTATTGTTAGCAACATCTCTGCTTTCACTTCTTATAATTATTTCTGACCATGTTTAGGCCTTTAGAGAGCTTGAAATGTGTGGATATAGACAGTTAATCAAATGATAAATTGAGCTCAACCTAAGACTTTCTTGTGAGGGGAAACAAAGGCTGTGATATTCACATGATATGTAACCCTTTTCTAGGCTTTGCAATGGAACAAATATGGTTGCTGCTGTTTCTAACAATTAGAATTCTTCCGGGGTCTGCTCAGTTCAATGGCTATAACTGTGATGCCAGCCTCCACAGTAGATTTCCTGGTAAGTCTGAGCCCCATCTACCCCTCATTACTTCTGAACAAGTGATTATGTCTGAATAGACCATCATTTAAATATATATGGAAAATGAAAGACCATCCCTTTAGATCAAGTGGCTATTAACAAATGGGAAATGACAAAGAGACATTTATCTAGAGCTTTAATTTATGACCACATTAACATACAAAGTGTTCATCATAGTATTATTATAATGGCTGTTCACAGATGTGAACGATATTAGCTTCTGGCTGGTAAATTAGGAGAAGCTAATTTTCTTCAAAATTTACCTAACTGACACCTATTTTTTCTTACAGGCTAATTCGGGGTTTTAAAATTGCCCTTATATGCTAATAGATTTGTTTAGTACTAGTACTCAAGAAAGTGATTTAGGATTGTTATGCAATATCTGAAAAGTGTTGGTATCTATTAAAATTCACAGCTTTGATTCAGAGTGAGAGCAAAAGAATCCTATCAATATTGAGCCAGAAAACAAGATTTTGACCATCTTGTGGCACATGAATAGACTCTTAAAATCTGCACTCAATGAAAATTTACTTCATTTACCACCTAAATATCCACCATTTTATTTTAGCTAGAGTTGCAAAACTGCAAAATAAAGATTGTCTAATCTTTATTGTCTAATCTAAAATCTTTTTTTTTTTTCTGAGACTTCAATGCCAACTGTGTAACTGAGACCATGATGACTCCTTCTGCACCTCGCCCACACACAGTGTGCAAGTTCATAGCACAATTGCACAGAGATGCCAGGGCAGTTAGAGTCAAAGTGAGATGACCACATCAGCATAAAAACTAGAGTGTATCTAATGTCTATGTCAATTCAGACCTAGTTCACAAGAATTTAGCATGGTAAGTAAAATGTAGAGTTCTTTGCAAGAGAGAGTACAGTAAAATCTGCAAAGGTATGTTGATGATGGCTTTTAATGGTCTTAACTACATTTGCAAGAGTGACTTTTTCCGTGTTTTTTATTATGGAAAATTCCAAAGGTGTGGAAACATAGAGGTTGCTGACGAGTGGTCATCCAGATTTATCAGTCAATATCATCTGTGTATTGCATTTCATCTCTACATTTTCCACTTTTAAATAAATACATATTTCATTCTCTAGTGTGTACATCTAGTAGAAAGAAACTTGATTGTAATACTTCATGTAAATATCTAATACTCAGTAAAGTTGTCTAATACCCAGTCATGTTGTCTAATACCCAATTAAACTACCTCTAACTTACCCCCTTGTGTTGTAGAATTCCAGTATTGTTTAAGCAAGAATTCTTTGTGTTGCATTGTGAACTGAAAGCATTTTGCTTTTCTTTTGAAGAAAATAAAAAGCCATTGAAGATTTTAAAACACGTTTTGATAAATGTTTGATGTAGTCACATTTCATTTAGGAAAGATATTAATAAAAGTGTGAAAGAAACCAGTGTGAAAAGACTGGAAATAGAGAAAAATATGAACTAGTAACTGTTAAAAGAGCTCAAGGGGGCGATTATTAAGAAAAATTTTTGTGATGGACTCAACAGAACCTGAGAACTAATGAGAGATGAGAGAAAGAAAATCACATTTTAACCTTGTACAACTAATGTTGATGCTGTTAATTGTTACTCAACACATAGAACACTTGTATATTTCATAAAAAATAGAGTGTACAAATAATAAACTTCAGGTGGTTTGGAAACATTTAGTACAAGCTTCCATCCAATGGTCGGAGATATGAACTTGAATCTTGCAAGAGAGGTCAAAACTGAAGGTAGCTTTGAGAGTTGAATGGGAAATGAAAATGATTGATTTATCCATAAACTGCCATTTATTTATCTTTTGTGGTGCAGGAAAAAGAAAAAATATTCTGAGTCAGAAATAGAAATGAGAAAAGAACTTTTTGGACGAAACAGGGCTGAATATATATGAGGAAAAGGGGACATTTTCAGAAATTGAAATCCAGTAATTAGCAATTCTAGGAACTAATGTAATGAGGAAACAGAATTTGGAAATCAATGGTGTAGGTGGAGGAATTAACCTTGGGATAGGAGTGGCAGTTTCTTTGATGGGAGTGGAAAAATAAGGACACAGACACAGGACCTCAGAGTTGCACCCTCCTGCCTCCCATGTGTAGTCGAGCTACTGGCCATTGGGCAAGCTGACTGCCAGAGGTCTGAATAGGATTCTGGAGAGGGTAGCTGAGCCTTGACCCTATTGTGAGTGGACAAGAAGGCCAACATGTTATAAGGCTGCTCAGCAAAGAGAATATGGCTGATGCTATCGTTATACACCCTTGCAAAGATAAGGAAATCTTGTTGATCAATCAGAAAGTGTCTAGAACCAAAATGTATTTATCATACAGCAAAATTTTAAGGTTATGTTAGAGTGTATTTAAATGTTGTATTCTGACCATCTACATGAAAACCACCTGATAATTGCTAAGAACAAAAACAAAAATGTGAACTCCATAACATTCCCCCAAATATGCAGGATTGGAATTTCTGGATACGATGTTGGAAATTTCTTTGAAACTTTGTAGATGAGTGCAATATACATTAGGTTATATGTGAGAACAACAGATCATGTATTTCATTGCTTTCTTGAGTCCGTTATTCCAACTAAAAGCACAATCATGGGTTGAGGAGATACAATTAAAAAACAAAATCTCCTTGGACCCAGAGCAGTAACCTATCAGCTAAAGTCCTTACCTTGCACACACCAGGATCCTATATGAGCGCCAGTTCTAATCCTGGTAGCCGCACTACCCATCCAGCTCCCTGCTTGTGGCCTGGGAAAGCAGTCGAGGAAGGTCCAAAGCCTTGGGACCCTACATCTGTTATGGGAGACCCAGAAGCTCTGGGCTCCTAGCTTGGGATCAGTTCAGCTTCAGCCATTGCAGTCACTTGGGGAGTGAATCATCAGGCTGAAGATCTTCTTCTGTGTCTCTCTTCCTCTCTGTGTATCTGACTTTCCAATCAAAATAAAATAAATCTAAAAAAAAGCCTTCTCTCCTGCCAGAAAATTTCTCTTCTGAAGTAGCAGAAAAACAATACACTTCTGATACTGAACAGGCTTTAATGCCCAAAATGATGGACATCAGAGACAATCAATGAAAACTGAAATTCAAAAATAAATTTCTCCCGTTTTTCAAGATTTTTTTTAAAGGATTTATTTTATTTTCATTACAAACTCAGATATACAGAGAGGAGGAGAGATAGGAAATGGAGCTGCCGGGATTAGAACCGGCGCCCATATGGGATCCCGGCGTTCATAGGCAAGGACTTTTAGCCACTAGGCTATCACACCGCCGGGCCCTCAAGATTTTTTTAAAAATTTATTTGAAAGGCAGTATCATAGTGGGGGGAGGAAAGGAGAGAGAAAGAGAGGAGAATTCCAAATTGCTGGCCACCTTCCATATGTCTGCCACTTTCAGGACTGGGCCAGACTAAAGCAGGAGCCAGTAACTCCAGATGGTCTCCCCCATGGATTTCTGTAGTCCGGGTGCTTGGGCTGTTTTCCATTGTTCCCAGGTACATTAACAGGGAACTACATCAAATGCATCAGTTGGGATGAGTTAGGACTTGCGTTGACATTCTGGTATGAGATGTTGGTGTCACAACTGTCAACACAACTGTGCATCATAGTGCCTGCCCCTAAATATTTTTTTTTTAATTATGCAGCTACAGCCATTATAAGCATGATTTGTCATGTGCCCTAACTTTACTGGTAATTGCAGTGATCACCAGGGTTAGTGTATTGGCTTGATTCAGAGAAAAAATTTTCTCATATGTTTATGACAGGAAGTAATTTTTGCAACTCAGGTGAGAATTACATCAAATCGAGCTTCTATCATCCCGGAAGAAATTGGTAGATGGGGATAGGGAAGGGCTATCTCTCTTGATGTTCACATTTAAGAGACATCTCTCAAGGGTTTGAGAAAATCCTTCCTGGGCCACGAAGCTATCAAAGGTCTACCGAGTTCTCAAGCACATTTATATATGTTTCAAAAAGAAAAGAAGTAGTTTGGTTTCAATTCATCAGATGTAATATTCTAAGGAAAAAGAGAAGATGTATGTTATTTTTTAATAAAGAGAATTAAATTTCTTTAACTTGTATGTTGTATTACACAAGTTAGCACTTTAAGTTTTGGCTGGAATAGGTTTAAAAAAAAGAAAAATCCAAATTTCTGTAAATGCATGTACATATACATACATTCCTTTGTTACAATTTAATTCGTCATATTTTTATTTTACTCTTTTCAAAACAAATATTCATTTTATTTATTTATAAGATTGTTTTATAAGGAGGGAGAAAGAGAGAGAGAGATAGCTCTTCCATCAATTGTTTCCTCCCCAAATGGCTACAAGGACCGGGACTGGGCCAATGCAAAACCAGACCTGAGGAGATTGATCTGACTCTGCTGCGTGGATAGCAGGGGCTCAAGTCCTTGGACCATTTTCTGTTGTTTGCCCAGGTACCTTAACATGGACCTGGATTTGAATTGGAACAATGCAGTGTCAACCCGTAACCATATGGGGATGTAGGTTTTGCAGGCAGCAGCTGAAACTATGTCACTATCATGGTCCCTCATTGTTAAGCTTTAAAATTAATGTCTGAAAGAAATTCCAAATCTAAAATCCAAACAGAGCAGGTGTTCATGGAGGACTTTTACTTTTATCTGGGTGGTATTTAGTACACATTTTGCAGATTGTTTGCAGAAGGAATGCCAGAGGGAACAAAGACAGCCTACAGGTTAATTGTACACTGCTCTCTTGACTTTCCATTTCTCTTCCACAGCAAAATCACCCTTGATGTCTGCACGAGTTCCAGACGCTGCTCAGATCCTGAGCAATGGGATGGAATGAGAATGAGTCTGGCAAAGGCAAAGAGCTTTCTAAATGCAAAGCAATGCTAATGATGATGAGGGCAATCCTACCGCCCTATCTGACCTTTGCTGTTTCATGACACCAGAGCTATTTTCTCTAATTTCCATGGAATCTTTCCTTGGG